GGGGCTGGCGCCGCTCTGGCCCGCCCCCGTGCTCCACCCGCCCGCGCCGGGGGCCATTCATACGGTCCGCAACAAAGGGCAGGCGGCCCGAGAGGGATCGGGGTGGGGAGGGGGCGGCGCGGTGTCCCGCTCCCGGGGGGCGCGGCGTGGGGGCGGGCACTGTCCCAGCGCCGGGAGGGGCAGGAAGCCGGGGGACCTCCCCCCGCGTCTGTCCGGGAAGCCGCCGCGAGCGGAAGCGGGAGGCGATCCTCGCGCTTCGTGGCCGGGCGGCTCTCAGGAGGTTCGGCCGGCGGGCGTCCCCGACCCGTGGGGCGTGAGGTCCGACGAGGAGTAGGGCTGCGGGCGGGGCCCGCACCCCGGTGACGTGGGCCGGTGCCGGGAGGGCCCCTCCCGCGCCGGTACCACCTCGCGTCCCACCCCTGTCCCGCGGGCCCGGCCCGCTTCCCGAGTCTCGCCCGCCCGAGCCGTGACGTGACGCGGCGTCCCCGGCTGCGCCCGCGCGCGCCGCTTGGGGCTGCGGTGAGTCAGCAGCGCCGGCGCGCCCCCTGCCGGCCCTGCCCGGGAGCGCTGCCTGAAGTCCTGGGGAGGGGGCGAAGAAGCTGCCCCGGGGCCGGGGAGAGGCCTACGGGACCGCTGGCGAGGTGGGAACCTCCGTTAGGGGTCTGAAGCCTCCAAGGCGGGAGGCTGGGGCCGCACAACCGGAGAAACTGAGGCTGAACAGCAACTTGCTCAAGGTCACTCGCGGGGTAGGAAGAGTGCCCGGGAGGCGGGGCGGGGGCTGAGGTCTTGACGGGGCGGTGCTGCTTACGCCGAGCCCCTCCCATCCCACGGCCCGAGGGGCTTGCCAGGGCTGGAGACACCCCGAACCCTGCCTGCCCCCAAAACAAAGAAAAGTGGGGCACCCGTAAGAGCCTAGAGTGGGGACCCTCCTACTCGTCCGGCGAGATCCCACCCGCACTCACCAGACGCGGCCAGTTCGAGGTCTCAACAGTCCTGAGTGTACCCACGTCCGGGGACAGCGCGCAGTGGCGGGGCAGGTCTGGGGCCGAGCGGGCGGCCCCCAAGCCTTTATCCGCACCGCCTTCCCTCGGGGTGGAGTTTGGGCGGGCAGGGGGCGGAGGGCCGGGCGGCCGGTGACGCAGGCGGGCCCCCGCCCCTGCCTGCAGGCCAGGGCCCTGGGGCGCCTTGGGATCTGGGCCACCCACCCCTTAAGCCTCGCCTCGTATACTGGGGGTCGCTGCTGAACCCAGGGTCACAAACGGCTTCGCTGATGGGCCGGATCCCCAGGACGGGGTTTCGGGTGCACAGGTTGGCTCCCGCCCCACCCCCCTCCCTGCCGCTCTAGGGTCCGGTGCTTCCGCCTGGGGGCGCCCGCGTGGGGGTGTGCAAGGGAGGGGGGTGCCTGAGTCAGCGGCCACAGTCCAGGAAAACAGGCTGGAGTCACCTGCCTGTTGTGGGGGTGCCCCAGCCAGCTGCCCCGGCAGCCTGGCCTCCTGCATCCCTTAACGGTGACCTCAGAAGACATTTATGGAGCGATTAACCTGCGCCAGGCCAGCCTGGTGCAGCCAGCCACCACCCGCTGCGCTGTGACCTTTTGGAGCCTGTTTCTGCGGCTCTCCATGGCTGCAGAGGGATAGAATCCAGCACGGCTCACTCTGGGGCCCCGAGTGGGGGGCTTGGGGGTGGGCAGATCACCCTACCCATTTCACAGACCAGGTAACTGACACCACACAGCAGCAGATGAAAATGTGGCAGGTCCTGTTTCTCCCAGCACGTTGCTCTGGGTTGGGAACTTTTTGAGGATGACCCTGATTGGTGTGGGGCCCTCTCAGTCCTCCTGCTCCCTCTGCCCAAAGGAGGGGACCCCAGGACCTACTCGCCTGCCCCTTGTCCATTTATCTGGTTTCTCACTTTATCTGGCCTGACCACCTCCACCTCCACCCTAGTAGTGGGCACCCCTCCCAGGGCTGTGTTCCTTTCCAGGTCCCCATCCTGCTCCCACCCTGCTCCTGCAGCCTCTGACCCGCCCCCTCCCACACTCACCGTCATACCCACACCCAGAGGCTCCCAGCCCCACAGGGTCAGGAAACCTTTGGGAGGGGGTCGCTGGGGGCTGGGATTGAGGGATGGATTTGGCGGGACAGAGGACGGTGATCCAGAAAGTGAGGCAGCCGTGCAAAGCTCAGGCTTGAGGGAGTGCTGGAGCCTGGAGATTAGGTTGTGGGGCCACCGCTGAAGGCCTTGGAGGGCCCTGCTGCCAGAGGAACATGGGGGTGGCAGAGAGAGCTGTGCGCTCTGAAGCCGGAGCATCTTGATGTTGGAGGGGCTCCAGATGGAGCAGGTGGTGCTGGGTCAAGGATTTGTAGCCAGGGTAGCCAGGGCTGTGTGATCGCAGGTGGGTCTGAGACCTCGCCCTTCAGGTTACCAGCAGAGTAGCGGGTCCTCCCAGAACAGGGGCCCCGAGGGTTCATGCACATCTAGGGGTGGGACATTGCTCTCAGGAAAGGACCACAGCCCCAGCCTGGCTCTACAGGTCCAACTTAAAAAACACACTAAGTCAATCCACTTCCTCCTTTTTTACGTGTTTATTCCGTGCTCTAGTCAGTCCCTGGGTGTGAGAACACGCGCAGTCCAAGGGGACCTCCTTCCTCAAAGAGGATCAAACCTTTATGTGAGCCTGCCTTCAAGGAAAGGGTTGTGACCTCCGGTTGCTGGTCGTATGACCCACTCTACCCCAGATGCCTCCACCCCAGGACAAGGCCTCGGCCAACACACGCTGTTCCTGCAGGCCCACATCAGGCGTGGGCATCCCTAAGGCTCCAAGGCTCACACCTCCCCCAGGAGGCCTCTTTGTGCTGAGAAATCTTACCTATGTCCAGAACTGCACCCCCAGCCAGAGGCTGAGATCTCTCTGGGAACAGGGGTACGGCTAGAGGGACTGCTGGTGTGGGCGGTGCTGGTCCAGCGGCTTCGCTGAGAGCATAACTGTTGTGATCGTGCCGCCGCGTTCCCTCAACCACCACTTGAACCCCCTACCCTGTCCTTGGTCCAAGGCCTGACCAGGAACTCTAGGACCTAGGCTTCAAAACACACAACAGGGAGGAGTGGGCCTGCACCTGTGAGCCCATGGCTGTCAGCGTTCTCTGGCCTGGGGGTTCCTGGGAAAGTGGGGGCCAGCTCCTTGGGCCTACCAGCCTGAGTGGGGGACCCAGAGAGAAAGCCTGCATAGCTGTGAGCTGGTCTGGAGGCCCCACAAGCATGGCTCCTGCCACACTGAGCGCCAGTGAAGCCATGGGACAGTCACTCGCATGGGACCGTGACACACGAATACACAGCCCATCTGTGCTGACAACGTGCCCAGGGAGGGCCTCCCTGTCACCTCCAGGCTGCCAGTGACACATGGGAAGGCCCAGACTCTCCTGCACACTCACCCCCCTGGAATCCCCTGCCACCCTGCTCAAGCCCAGGGCTATGTAAGGGAGGTGAGGAGACCCCTTCCCTCAGAGTCTCCTGCTGGCCACCTGCAGCAAGCTTCTGGGCCAACCCTGTGCTTGCAAAAGGGAAGAAATGGAGCAGCACAGAAGCTGCCCCCGCCCAGCTGCCCCACCCCATCTGGGGCCAGCCCAGGGGCCTGGATGGCACAGAGGTGCCAACACCACCAGGGATGAGGCGCACGGCCAGCCAGGGCCACCCACAGGCCGGGTGAGCAGAGGGCTGGGCCTCTGTGGGAGCAGGCAGGACCCGCCTCTTCCCAGCGTGGCTGGGGCGGGCCGGGGAGCCCACAGGGCAGATGGCACAGCCTGAAACCTGGCAGAGCCCCAGGAGGCTGTCCAGCAGCCCAGGCCTGGCCCGGGAGCTGGAGCCACGCCCCCGCAGGGCCAGCAACTTGTGCCAATCCCCACCCTCTTGGGATGATGGCAAACAGCCTGCCCCCCACCTACCCTGGTTTCATGGGCTATGCCCCCTGCACACCCCTACTCCCCAGTTTACTAAACCCCCCGAGGACCCCTCGGGCCCCAGCTTCCAAACCCTGGAGGCTGAGGCTGGCATTTAATGCCTTATCCCACCGCAGGGGCACGCAGAGCTCAAAGACCAGGCAAGATCCTGAAGACACAGTCCCAGGCAGGACACAAAACCAGCATACACAAGTCAGGTCCCTGGTTTTTAATGGGGGGCTCAAGCCGGGGGCAGGCTGTCCCACAGAGGTGACTGGGAGCTGAAGTCTCCACGGCAGGGTCTACAGAGTCAGAGGGATGGCGGGTGGCACATCAGGCTGGGAGGGAGGGGGCTGGAAGGTGGGAAGAGAGCCCATGGTGGGGGGGTACACACAGCCCCCCCTCAAAAAGCAGAGCAGGTCTCTGGGCTCACCCCCAGCCACCAGGCCTGCCAGCCCTGGCAAGGAGCCTGTTTCCTGGGTTTGACGGGTTAGCTCTCTTGGCAGAAAACTAGAACCGTGCTGCCCCCTGGCGGCCTTCTCTGGCAAGACCGCTTCCTCCACAGGAGAACGAACCCCTTTAGGCGGCTTGCTGACCTTCCTCCCCCCCCCCCCCCCCCCCACCGTCAGACTGGACCCGCGTGAGCTGGTTCAGCCTGCCCAGGACATCCTCTGCCCAGTTCTGGGCCTCGGTTTCCCTGCTGGCAAGGGCCACGCACCGCCTACTCAAGAGCTTTCACCAGGGCCTCGTTGGCCTCGATGCGGATTTGGATCTCAGCCCTGGAGGCCTCATCTGCTGCCCCTGACAGCTCCGACTGCGCCTTCTCCAAGTTCACCTTGGCTGCCTGCAGGAAGTGGGCAGTGGGTGAGAGCCAAGCAGCGACCCCAGCCTGGTGCCTGCCCCTCCACCAAACTCAAGGTCCCTTCCCCGAAGCCCATGATCTTTAGGACGACCCAGCCTCCTAGGCACACCAGTCTCTCCTGGGACACTCACCCCCACATCCAGCATGTCCAGCGTCACGGCCTCTTCGGCCAGCAACTGGACTGAGGAATCAGCATTCACGGTGACGGAACCACTGCTCACTACAGAAAGAGAAAGACGTAAGACCTCCACACCCAGCCGTAAGTGACATGATCACCCCCAAACCAGAGAAATGGCTCCACAGGGTGGCCCTAGAGTCTAGCATGGGAAACAGACAGCTGGAGAGAATGAAAGATGCACCGGGGGCCCAGGAGCACCCACTGGGGGTTGGACACAGAGAATAGAACCTTATTCCTTCACCCACCAGTCCATCAGCTAAGCTAGGATCAGGGATGATCCGGGAGCTGGATTTGAATCCTGGCTGTCCCTCCAAGTTGTGACGGAGAAGCACTTCTTGGGATCCAGAATCCTACACCTTCTCTTAATCGGCTCCTCCCGCACAGGATTTGACTTCTCTCTCAGACACCTGTCCCCCACCCCCACCCTGCCTCCTTACAAACTCCTTAACCCCATGTTCGCCCTAGGTACTGTTCTTTTATCAGCTCTATGATCTGAGACTGAGACCGGCCTAATGAAGTATGAGGCCCCTACCCAGCTCCATGCCACTGGACTCACCGAAGTATTTGGAGGTGGTGCCATCCTCAGCATGGACAACAACCAGCCCTGGCCGCAGGACCTGCAGGGTGGGCACGTGGGCCGCAAGGATGCCAAAGGCTCCTGTCTGCGTGGGCACATCCACTTGTCGGACGTTGGCACCGTTGAAAAACACCTGGAAAAACACAGGGCATGCGTCACTGCAGGCCAGTCTTCCAGTGCTCGGGACGGGCTCCCCTGCAGGGCAACGGTCAAAGGCGGGAGGGAGCACTGATGCGGAACACGGAGGCGGTCACGCTGGGGCGGAGACTTCAGTTTCGGTGCCCCGCAACATCTCAGTGCCGGCATCTAGCCCAGAGCCCGTCCACACAGAAATGCCGCAAGAGCACAAAAGGCGCACCGACCCAGGACAAGTGCCCGCGGCTCCGGGACCTGCGGGACGGGGCGGGGGGCGGGGAGGTCCAGTCCTTGGGGGTTGGGATTCCAGAGAAAGGTTACGGAACTCGGAAGACTTTATAGGGCTCGGGTTCCAGACCCCAAGGAAGAGCGTAGGGCGCGGATCAAGAGGGCGGGGCAGCGACTCTGGGGCTGGGGGGCTCGGAATCCGGACCAAACGAGACGGAGGGGGCGTGGGTCAGGGATCCCAGATGGGGTTGGGGGCCTCGGAGCCCCGGAGGCTGGGGAGCCCGGATTCCGGACGACACAGGGGAGGGGCACAGGGCGCGGAACAAGTGGGGATCGACAACCCTGAGGCTGGGGTCTCCGACTGCGGACCACTACGGGTCCGGGCTGGAGATGTCGACCAAGGCGGGGTCCCGAGACAGACCGGCATCGAACCTGCGTGGGTGAGGCGAAGGTGAAGGACATCTGTCCCGGGCCCGCAGCCGGGGCCGGAGCAGCGGCGGCCTCGGCGTAAGAGCGGGCCTGGCGTACGAGGGAACGCAGGCCGGGGCGGCGGAGGACTGCGACGGGTAGCATGGCGACGGCCGCGAGCGGACTCCAGCCGAACGCGGGCAGCCTGGAGGACGAGGAGGACGACGCCCGGGGACTTCTGGGAAGAGGAGTCCAGGCAAAGGCGCACGCGCGAACTACGACTCCCAGCGAGCCGCGCAAGACATTGCAACGACGCATTGCGCCCCGCGCGCGGCATGCTGGGGGTTGTAGTTTCCTTCCAGTCCTAGCTGCCCGCCGAGTGGTAAGATGGGATGTGTGTCAATGGGGAGGACCAGAAGCCTCCGCGGAGCAGGGGTCACTTGAATTCAAGGTTTTGGAGGCGCTCATTGGATGCCAAGCGCAAGATCCATCAAGGGGAATACCAAGATTCCGGTTCTGGTTTGGGGCAGTGGGGACGTTTATCAAACATTCAATGTAACGAATACGCAAATCATATGGCATATTAGAAGTTAAAAAGTACTTGAAAGAGAAAAGAAAAGCAGAGTTGGGGGCCAGGATGGGGTAGGCTGCGACTGTTAGACATGCAGACGTGCCGGGAAGGACATCCCAGGCGGAGGGTCTAGCGCGGATAAGCGCCCGGCGCCGCGGGCGCGGCTCGGCTGCAATCCCCGAGGGCGCCGGCAGAGGGCACTCCGCGACCGGAGATGCACTCGCCACGGCCCCGCCCGGCCCCTACCCCCGCGCGCCGTTGACGCACGGACGCGTGCGCGGGCGGCCGGGGGCTCCGCTGACGTCGTCTCGGCTCGCGCAGCCTCGCTCGCGGCGTTGACGTCACCACTCCGCCCCCGCGCTCACGCAGGTGGCGCCCCGGGCCAGACCCCCAGGCCCACTTCTTGGTCTCCGGCAAAGCGCGGAGTGTGGGTTGGGCCGGGTTGGGGCCGACACCGGGGAGGGCCCCGGCTGAGGGCGGAGGGGTGCAAGCCACAGGGGAGGTAGCGTCACTCGGGCCCGGGTCTGGGCAGGTGCGTTGCGGCGCGGTGTTGCCCCGGTGGCTCCCCAACCCCAGGGGCTGCCTGCGCCCTAGCTCTCTGCTTTCCAGTATCTGGGCCGCCTGCGGCCAACACAGAGGAAGGACCCAGGCTTAGTGCCCTGACCCCCGCCCCCTCTGGGCCGGCGCTGTGAGGGAGAGTCGGGGCATCCTGGCCCAGGGTGTGCGTGTGCAGAGAGAAGCCCCATTCGCATTTCTAGGGGTGAGTCCTGTGCGCAGTCCCACCCGTTCCCAGAGCTCCGGACCCCACATGGAGGCAAGCCTAATCTACCGAATCAGTCGGCTTCTCGAACCCATCCACTGGACAATTTCTCTCCCATTCCTGCTCCAGGATGGCCAATGGGTAAAGGCCCCAAACCTAGGGTTACCCTGGAGATGGCCAGTGGACCCCCGTCGGCGTGGCTTGTCCACTCAGTGGGGCCACTACGGCCACTATCACCGGTTTGCATGGCCCAGCCTCCTCCCCTGTCCTCCAAACAGCTGGGTTCACACAGAGCCAGAGGCACCATGTCATTCTCCTGATGGGAACCACAAGACGGCTTTCCTGTTCCCTCCAACACAACACGTTGAACTACAAACATAGTTTCGTACCTCAGGTCCTTTGCACATTCGGCCCCTACTCGCTTGAGCCCGCCTTTCCTGGGTATTTATGCACTTAAGCACGTCCTGTCTTCAGTGTGCCAGCCCTGTGCCATTCCCGGGGACCCAACTCCTGCCTTGGACGGAACTCACCCTGTAGTGAGGGAAGGGGTGAAGAGGGACACAACATATTGGAGCAAAGAACAGGCGACACGAAGTCCACGGAAAGGGGCAGGGGACTGAAGTGTGGGGTGGGAATTGCTGTTACCAAAGGTAGCCAAGAGGAGATGCACTGACACTTGACCATTTAGGGAAGAGTTGAAGGAGGCCAGGAGTGCATCTTGAAGCTGAGCGGGGAAAGAGTCCGCGAGGCTCAGCACCTACAAGTGCAAAGGCCCTGAGGTTGAAGTGGTAGCGTCAATTTTCACTGGAGGGGAAAGGCATGACATTGCGTTGAGCATAGGGCCAGGTGGGCTGGGCTAGAACCCAGACCACGCTGGTGCAGGTTGGTGTCCTCAGCATCTAGAAGGACAAGACACGATTTTCTGAGATGGAGAATGGGGAGCAGCTTTGGGGTTCACCAGTCATGGAGTTTCTGCCAGAGTAGTCCTGATGTCACCCGGGCTGGGCAGGCCATGGTGGCATTCAGCACAGATAATATTCTATTATTTTCACTCATTGTTTGTTCCAACAAGGCAGCGCGCCTGGTGAACCTGACAATGCCACGTATTAGGGAAGAAAAGGGGGGGCATGTCTCCAACCCCCCCAAACTGTGCATCCTGATGTCCCCCACGTTGGGGGACGCGAAGGAGGGGAAACCGATGGACCCGACTCCTCCCCTTCGTTCCCCGTCCCTCCGGACCCTGGGAAGGGTCAGGAGCTGTGTCGCAGGGGAGGGGGTGGAGACTCAGCCGCCGCGGGAGACAGCCGCTCCGCGTGAGGAGGGGGCGTCCGGAGCGAGGCTCCGCCCCCCACTCCCGCCGGAAGGGAAGGGGAGGCGGTGGCCGGCGCGCA